ATGGTGAGTAATCCCTTTAATATGCTATTGGATTCAGTTTGCTAATATTTTATTAAGAATTTTTGCATCTATAGTCATAAAGGTTATCAGTCTATAATTTGATCTAAAATGAGTCTCTTGTAGACAGCATATAGTTGGGTCATGTTTTTTAACCCATTTTTCCAGTCTTTGTCTTGGGATTGAATAGCTTAACCCACTTATTTTATAACTGTAAGTTTGTATTTTTTTATTTATTTATTTTTTATGTAGCTTGTCCCAACTGACCTGAGCTAGTGAGGAAACATACACATTTTTTAATTAAGATATTATTGATATACACTCTTATGAATATTTCACATGAAAACAACATGGTTACTACAATCACCCATATTATTGAGTCCCTCCATACCCCATTGTAGTCACTGTCCACCAGTGTAGTAAGATGTCACAGAGTCACTACTTGTCTTCTCTGTGCTACCATCTTCCCCATGACCACCCCCACATACACCATGTGTACTAAACATAATACTCCTCAATCCCCTTCTCCACAACCCCCACCTGCCCTCCCCAACCCCTCCCCTTTGGTAACCACTAGTCCCTTCTTGGAGTCTGTGAGTCTGCTGCTGTTTTGTTCCTTCAGCTTTGCTTCATTGTTATACTCCACAAATGAGGGAAATCATTTGGTACTTTTCTTTCTCTGCCTGGCTTATTTCACTGAGCATAATACCCTCCAGCTCCATCAATGTTGTTGCAAATGGTAGGATTTGTTTGTTTCTTACGGCTGAATAGTATTCCATTGTGTATGTGTACCACTTCTTCTTTATCCATTCATCTACTAATGGACACTTAGGTTGCTTCCATATCTTGGCTATTATAAACAGTGCTGCCATAAACATAGCATTGCATATGTCTTTTTGAATCTGAGAACTTCTATTCTTTGGGTAAATTCCTAGGAGTGGAATTCCTGGGTCAAATGGTATTTAGATTTTTAGTTTTTGAGAAACCTCCATATTGCTTTCCACATGGTTGAACTAGTTTACATTCCCACCAGCAGTGTAGGAGGATCCCCCCTTCTCCACATCCTCACTAGCATTTGTTGTTCTCAGTCATTTGGGTGGTGGCAATCCTAACTGGTGTGAGGTGATATCTCATTGTAGTTTTAATTTGCATTTTCCTGATAATTAGTGATGTGGAGCATCTTTTCATGTGCCTGTTGGCCATCTGAATTTCTTCTTTGGAGAAGTGTGTGTTCAGATCCTCTGCCCATTTTTTAATAGGGTTATTTGCTTTTTAGGTGTTGAGGCATGTGAGTTCTTTATATATTTTAGATGTTAACTCCTTGTTGGATATGTCATTTACACGTATATTCTCCCATACTGTAGGATACCTTTTTGTTCTGCTGATGGTGTCCTTTGCTGTACAGAAGGTTTGTAGCTTCATGTAGTTCCATGTGTTCATTATAACTGTAAGTTTGTATCTTTTGAACCACTTAAATTTAAAGTGATTACTGATAAGGAGACACATATTTCTGCCATTTTGTTCTTTTCTTTCTAAATGTCCTGTAGCTTTTTGGTCCCTCTTTTTCTGCATTACTTTGTCTTTTATGTTCAGGTGATTTTTTTGGAGTGAAACATTTTGATTCTCATTTTCTTTTGTGTATATTCCATAGACATTTCACATCCTAAGGTTATAACAACCTGATTTGAATTTATACCAGCTTAACCTCAATAACATACAAAAATTCTGCCCTTATGGAACTGTGATCCACTCTTTGTTTTGATGTCACAGATTATATCTTTATACATTGTGTGCCCAATACATAGATTAATAATTGTTTTAAATGTACTTATCCTTAAAAGCATATAGAAAATAAAACCTAAAATTACAATAATACTGGCTTTTATACTTGTCCTTATGTTAGTTTTGTTCTTCATACTGCTTCTTCATACATACTGTTCTTCATACATACTTCTTCATACTGCTTCAAGTTACTGTCTACATTGTCTTCATTTTCAACCTGCAGGACTCCTCTTTAGCATTTCTGGTTATGCAAATGTAGTGGTAACAAGCTTCCTCAGTTTTTGTTTATCTGGGAAAGTCTTAATTTATCCTTCATTTTTGGACAGTTTTTCTGGATATAGAATTCTCAGTTGACTGGTTTTTGTCCTTTCATCTCTTTGAATATATTAGCCCACTGCCTTCTGGCCTCCAAGTTTTATGAGAAATCTGAGGATAATCTTATTGAAGATACCTTGTATGTGACAACTCACTTCTTTCTTCCTTTTTTCAAGATTCTTATCTTTGGCTTTTGATAGTTTGATTATAATGTGTCTCAGTATGGGTGCTTTATTCAACACTGAATTTGTTAAACTTGGATTTGCAGGTTTACTCCTTCATCATATTTGGAAAGTTTTCAGCCATTATTTCTGCAGATGCCCTTCTGCCCCTTTCTCTCCTTCTGGGATTCCCACAATACAAATACTGGTCTGTTTGAAGGTATCCCTGGGGTCCCGTGGGCTCTATTCACTTTTTTCCCATTTGTTTTCTTTCTGTTCCCCAGACTATTTAATTCTAATTGTCCTATCTTCATTGTTGCTAATTCATTCTTCTGCCCTCTTAAATCTGCTTATGAACCTGGATAGTGTATTTTTCATTTCATTTATTGTGTTTAAGCTCCAGACTTTCTTTTTGGTGTCTCATATTTTCAACTCTATTAATTTTATTTGGTTCACACATCATTTTACTGTCTTTGCCCATGTCATCTTTTAGTTCTTCGAGCATCTTTAAGACAGTTGTTTTCAAGTTTTTGCCTAGAAATCTGACATCTCTGCTTTGTCCATATGTCCATTTCTTTTGTTCCTTTGAATAGGCCATTCTGTCCTATTTGTGCAATTTGTGATATTTTTTTGTTGCTGTTGAAAACAGAACATTTGAAACTTATAATATAGTAACTCTGGAAATCACATTCTCCCTAGTTCCCAGGGTTTGCTCTTTTTTTATTTTTTGTAGAGTGTCTCTGTGCCATGGCTCAGACTGAGGTGAAAACTTCACACCCAGGTCTTTCCTGAAGTTACATTTTTCCTGGCTTTCTAATATACAATATATATATATATATGATGGCTTTTGAATGACAAAACGAACACAGACACAACACTTATACTTTAAATCTTCTGTAAGCTTCTTCAGCTGCCACCCTCTCCCTAAATGTCAGCCATCAGAATCTGCAACTCATAATCAAAACATAGATCCCAATATTTCAAGGACAAAGTCTCTGTTGCCCAGCCTAACTCCAACAAGCCACACCAAAATCACAGGATGCTATCCTCACAGCTGCCTGTGGAGTTGGGGGCTGGCTGACAAGGAACTACTGCATTGAATTCTGAAACTGACCAATATTAATCACAGTTTACCAGTCAAAACTTGCCCTGGAATCCACAAGCATTCAAATGGACTCAAGTCCCAAAAATAGTTATTAAGATAAAGTCTGCTAGTAGCCAAGATACAGAAGCTACCTAAGTGTCCATCAGTGATGAATGGATAAAGAAGATGTGGTACATATACACAATGGAATACTACTCAGCCAGAGGAAAGAAACAAATCCTACCATTTGCAACAACATGGATGGAGCTGGAGGACATTATGCTCAGTGAAATAAGCCAGGCAGAGAAAGACAAATGCCAAATGATTTCCCTCATTTGTGGAGTATAACAATGAAGCAAAACTTAAGGAACAAAATAGCAGCAGACTCAGAGACTCCAAGAAGGGACTAGTGGTTACCAAAGGGGAGGGGTGTGGGAGGGCAGGTGGGGAGGGAGGGAGAAGAGGATTGAAGGGGATTGTGTTTAGTACACATGGTGTGGGGGATCATGGGGAGAACAGTGTGGCACAGAGAAGGCACATAGTGGATCTGTGGCATCTTGCTGCACTGATGGACAGTGACTGCAATGGGGTATGGGTGGGGACTTGATAATATGAGTAAATGTGGTAACCACATTGTTTTTTCATATGAAACCTTCAGAAGAGTGTATATCAATCATACCTTAATAAAAAAAATTTTTTTAAATAGCCACAGCAAAAAATAAATAAATAAAAAGATAAAGTCTGCTAATACAGATGTCTAGATGGAGAGATGGATTTGTGGTGCTTCCTATTCAGCCATGACCCCTGATGTCATACATCAAGAATTAACATTTTAAAGAAATTTGTCATCTATATCTAGTTTGTCATTGGGGCTCACTCAAATGTTATTTTTGTCTTCCCACTATTACCTCATACTAAATTTTAAACTTCTTGAAAACAGGGATAAGGAACTGTTGTTCAAAGTAGCTATACCATTTTACATTCCCACCACCAATGTGTAAGAGTTTCAGTTCCTTATAACGCTTGATTCTCTTTTCAATTTTACTTTAGTAATGTTACTATATAATAGTATCTCATTGTGATTTTTATTTGCATTTCCCTAATGACTAATGATATAGAACTTATCATCTTTTTATGTGCTTATTTGTATATCTTTAAAGAATTGCCTATACACACCTTTACCCATTTTTTAATTTACCTTTATTGAATTATAGTTTTTTATATATTCTAAATACAAACTTCTCATCAGATACATTATTTACAAAATTTTCTTCCATTCTGTGAGTTTTTTCACTTTTTTGATAGTGTCCCTTGAAGTATGCAAGTTTTCAATTTTGATACATTCCAATTTTCTCTCTTTTTTTGCTTGTGTTTTTGGTGTAATATCCAAGAAACTATGGGCTAACCCACCATAATAAAGACTTATTCCTGTATTTTCTTCTGAGAGTTGGATTTAATTCCACTGTGGTTGGATAACACACTTTGCATATTTTCAAGTCTTTGTTTTATGACCTAGCTGATGGTCTATCCTGGAGAATGTTCCATGTGTGCACTTGAGAACAACATGTATTCTGCTGTTACAGGGTAAAATGTTCTGTAGATGTTTTGTTAAGTCTAGTTGATTTATAGCGTTGTTCAAGTCTTCTGTTTCTTTTCCCCAGGTGAGACCTGGAACCCCTTCAAATTACAGTACCAGCTGAGAAATGTAAGAGAGCGAATTGCAAAGAACCTAGTAGAGAAGGGTATTCTAACCACTGAGAAGCAGAATTTCCTCCTATTTGACATGACTACGCATCCAGTGACCAATACAACAGAAAAACAGCGACTAGTGAAAAAACTTCAAGATAGTGTCCTAGAGAGGTGGGTAAATGACCCTCAGCGTATGGACAAGCGAATATTAGCACTCCTGGTGTTAGCGCACTCCTCAGATGTGCTGGAGAATGTCTTCTCCTCTCTGACAGATGATAAGTATGATATGGCAATGAATCGAGCCAAGGACCTCATAGAACTGGACCCTGAAGTAGAGGGGACAAAGCACATTGCCACAGAGATGATCTGGGCTGTGCTGGCAGCCTTCAATAAATCCTAAAGTCAGCAAGTGGGTTCCTCCTTGTTCCCTTGCTGGCTTGATGACTGTGAAAGATACCATCACTGAGATTTTTGTGATGAGAGATTTTTTTCCTTCTTTATGTTTTTTCCTTCTCTTGAATGAGACTTGTGATCTGGGGAGAGCAACTTCAGGGCTTCTCCATAGACTTTGACCATAATAAGCAGACTTTGTTTCTCCCTATACTTACACTCCAGAGGTGAATAAACTTCTCCATAGACTTTGACCATAATAAGCAGACTTTGTTTCTCCCTATACTTACACTCCAGAGGTGAATAAACTGGGTGAACTCACACACACCCTATAAACACTTTCTCTCATTTCTTGGTTTACTTCCATCCCATGTGCTTATGGATAATTAGGAATAGTTAAGTGGAATTTGGAGTTCTCCAGCTATTGGATATGAATGAGATACACAACAAAACATTTATTACTTTCTTTATAGTTTGTTTTTTCTATCTTAAGTACATGTTTTCACAATCTTTGTCAGGCTCTGCTCAGTAGTGTAGCTTATTGAAATAACTGTCTCTTTGAAAAAAGGAGCAAGAGAAACAAAATTAATTTTTTGAGCAGATGGTCTCTGGAATTTTATGTCCTGCTAATGATTTTCTCATCTTTCCTTTTCTAACCTAATAAAAATATTCCAGATATAATCAACCTGGTTCTTAGACTCCTAGAACCAGAAACGTATTCTATAGTTTCTCTCAGCATTATCCTGTTCCTTCATTCATTAGGACAAAAGTCTAAGTTTTAAAAAAAATCTCTCTCAACTACATCCTTCTCACAATCAGCATGGCAATTTATAAAGGGAAAGAAGTGGCATGAGAATTTCCACCCCTTAGCGCATAACTGTCTGGTTCCTCCAAATTGTATGTCTCTGCTGTGATTGAATTGAGGGAGTTAGAGATTTCAATTGCTGAATAGCAGCTGAGTCCAGACAGTGTATGTAAATTCCAGATCTTCTTGTTCCCTGTTTTTGGCTTCCTATATAAAATTGGTACATTCTATGTTTAAGGGTTCTAGAAGTAGTTTTGTCCATATTGAAACCACAGATACTCTCCTATCATTGGTCTTGTTTCAACACAACTATCTCTTTCTAGCCGAATCTCTAAAATGTTTTTCAGTTCAGTAGTAAGTGTAAAAAGAAGCTTGTTAAGAAAAATCCTATTTAGAGGGGCAATTTAGTGTCAAAAGCATGATGATACAAAGTCCAGTATTTGGAAATATAAAAAGGACAGGCACCAAGTTGTGCTAATTTCAAGCATTTTTTATGCTGATATTTTTAATGGATCTTGCCTCTGGACCATTACAGAGAAAGAGGCTGTCAGAAGTTTAATAAAGATGACCCAGCCCTGATATCAAATATTCCTGATCAGAAGTAATTAAATGAGTGATTAATAACTTTCACCTCTTCCCCCAAACCTTAGGTCTAGCCCTACAAAATTCCCCTACTCTTTTTTTTTTTTCATTATTGATTACAGGTATCACTGAGGTGACAAGAAATATAAATTTTAACATGAAATAAGTTCTGAATGTGAGACTCAGTAGAACTTCAGTCTGGCTTTCTAAAAGTACAAAAACCAGTCCATGTGTTGTCTCTATGTGAATTAATTTTCCTTTCCAGTTGAACAATTCAGCATGAATTTAAACCAGGTTTTCCTGTTGGAAGTTGCAGCTAGGTTGGGGGTTTGGTTGAGTTCTTTCTTGCAATTATTGGTCAGTGTTTATTTTTATATTATATCTCAATAAAATGAGGATGTCTTCAGTTTGGGTCCACATCATGTTCACCATAAAATACTTTCTTATTTAATGCATACGGCCTTTACATTTCTATATACTAAAGATCAATTGTTGGCTCTCTGGTCTCTTTGTGAAGTTTTACAACTTCAGCTATGTATTTTAACTGGAAATAATAACTTTTTTTCCATACAAGGCCAGTAACAGTACCCGTTTTCACTAGGATACCAGCCTCAGTTTCATCCTGTATAGAAAATTAGGGATACACAAATATAACTGTAACATATAAAGGCTGTGGGGCAGGGCACATCAAGGCTACTCTGAACATCAGCTAATATTATAAAGTCTGAATAGCCTCTCCATCTCAATCAAAATAAGTTACCCAATTTTGCCATTATTACCATGAAGAGAGTAAGTATGACCTGTCCTATTAATATCTACTTGCAGGTGAAACCTAAATTTATCTCAGAGCTGAAAGTCTTAAGTTCCAAACATAGGTAACATAACTGACTCTAAGAGAGTTAATAACATGTGAAAAGATCATTGTGCTTGTGATTAGCTTAATCGTCCCTTCTTTATAATGTCTACAACACAAGGGTCAATAAGAAAGGTGGTTACTAGGATTGTTCATACTTCCCTATTATTTTTCTTTCAGACAAAGCATTGTTCCCATAAGTCATGCTTTATACAATCTTTCTCAAAATGTGGTCGAAAGACTACTGTACCAAAATAACCTGAGGAGGAGAGGTACCTTGCTAAAATATAGGTTCCTAGTAAATCAGTCTCTGGGGTTGGGGGCTTAGGAAGCTGCATTTTAAAAGCAGTCTCCACTGTTTCATAGATTAGGTAACAAACATGATCTTCCACATAATATTCAGACTGCTGGCTACTACTTTGTAAACATTTTTTTTCCCACTTGCTGTGGATTAAAGGAAATAACTTGTATCTCTTGGAGTGTTTAATTACTTTGCTACCTTTTTTCCTCTTTCTGTTATGGTCTGAGTTTGCTTTCTACCTGAAAGATGCATTTCAAATATGCTGTTACCCATCCCTGACTGGAGGTGTCTTTGGGATGGGAGTACCCAGGAGGTGCATGGGTCCACAGCATGTGAATCGTGGTTAGAGTCAGAGGTGACTGCCAGTACTGCTTGACCTATGGGTAAGCCTAATCACTAACCCCTTTTCCTTTGTAAAATTGAAAACCCTTTAATAAAGTAAGTAACACACACACACACAAAAAAAAAAAACTAGTCTCTAAAAGCTTGCACATTAGAATTTGAGAAGCCTGATTTATATTTTATTGCCTATAATTCATCCAAAAAATACTGAGCTTTTATACGTTAATTGCCACTTTCTGGGTGCTGACAATAAAAAGTTATAGGGGATTAAACAAGATGGCAGCATGAGAAGTCAGGCAGAAAGCTCCTAATAAAACTACATATAACATGAAAATACAGCAAATACTACCAATCCTGAAAGAGTGACCAGAGAGAAGACTGCAACAGATGGCCTATATCTGGGGAAAAGAGAAGACCTCACAGAAAAGGACAAAGTAGAAAACCCACAATCCAGGAAAACCCAAGCTCTCCTGCCACCCCAGCTCACCAGCAGAAGGAAGAGAAATGGAGCAGGGAGGGAGTAGAAGCACAGGACTGAAAAATACCCACCCCTGGAGATCTGCTTCAGGAGTATAAACCCACATTACATGGTGCTCTGGAGATTAGAGGGGTTGGAAATCAAACACAGGCAGAATATTCTGAGATTCCAGCTGCTTACAGAGAACAGGCCCACAACCAGCTGCTCCAGGACAAAAGAAAGATGGGCACTTTGAAATACTTCCCAACAGTGAGTGGGCTGCTAAAGGGGCAAGGATTACACAGAGCTTGCTGCTCAGTAGACAGGACAGGCAGACAAAAATTTTCCAGCAAACTCAGTCCAACAGGGTGGGAACTTGCAGGAGCTTCTTATGCTTTATCCCCCTGGCTGGCAATGCAATGCCAAGGCCCCCCACCCCTGCAATACACAGCCTACCATTCCTTCCTCCCAGCAAGCACCAATTTGCAAACCTGTGGCCCCTGCCATCACTCCAGGCAAACCAGAAGGCAGCCCCTCCTCTGGCAGCCCTGAATTGTTCAAATGGAAAGAAAAATCCTATTTAGAGGGGCAATTTAGTGTCAAAAGCATGATGATACAAAGTCCAGTATTTGGAATTATAAAGAGGACAGGCACCATGTTGTGCTAATTTCAAGCATTTTTTATGCTGATATTTTTAATGGATCTTGCCTCTGGACCATTACAGAGAAAGAGGCTGTCAGAAGTCTAATAAGGATGAGCCAGCCCTGATACCAAATATTCCTGATCAGAAGTAATTAAATGAGTGATTAATAACTTTCTTGAGACTTATCCCTGCATGCTTGGCCCACTGGCCCTGGCAGTGGAGGTAGGCACTGTGGCTAGGAAGCAGGAAGGAGGTCTTTTCTCCCAGCACGCACTGGTGCTATGTGCCTGCAAACACCCACCATCATTGCCAGTACTGAGCAGCTCCAGAGAGAAGAGCTTCTGGGCACTGGAAGGCACTGCCTACACAAAGTTACTATTCCATAGGAATCATTAGAAATATGAAATGGCAAAAGAACCTTGTACAAATCAAAATCCCTCAAACACTAAAAAGAGGGCTAAGTGAAATTAAAATCACCACTCTTCATGATAAAGACTTCAAAATAAAAATCATAAACATGCTTGTGGAGCTACAGAAAAATATTCAAGACCTCAGGGAGGACTTCAAAAAAGAGAAACAATGAAAAAAACAGTATCTGGGAGATTCTTAAGATGGCAGCATGAGTAGGGTGGCAGAAATCTCCTCCCAAAACAATATATATTTTGAAAATACAGCAAATACAACTATTCCTAAGAAGGGGACCAAAATATGCAGTACAACAACCAGGCTATATCTACATCTCCGAGAACTCAGCAACTCACAAAAAGGGTAAGATACAAAGCTGTGACCCAGTGGGATCCAAAGATTCCCCCCACCCTAGCTTACCTGCAGGAGGAAAAGAATCAGAGTGGGGAGGGAGTGGAAGCACAGGGCTGCTAAATAACCAGCCCTAGTAATCTGCACCAGGGACACAGACACATACTGCATGGTGTACTGGATATTAGAGAAACAGAAAAGTAAAATCCAAGACTAAGATTGCGAACAGCTCCCCACAGCTGGCAGCCCTGGGACAAAAGAAAAGCAGGCACTTTAAAAGTCTGAAAGGGACAAGGGTTTAAAAGGTTGGCAAAATCATTCTGGCACACTCAACCGAGCAGGCTGGGAACTTTAAGGAATTTCAGGTGCCCTAACCCTCTGGGTGGCAACACAGCCCTGAAGCCCCTCATGGTGATAAGCAGCCTGTTGTTTATTCCCTCCCTCAGGCACTGTAAGCAAACCAGCTGACCCGCCATTGCTGCGGACCAGTTGGGGAGCAGTCCTGCCAACAGCAACCACACAGAGTCTTCTCCCAATGCCCAGCAAACCATGCCAGACCCAGAGGCTGCCCCCTGTGCACAGCTGCCCAGCACAGACAGTGGAGAGATGGCGCAGAGCCCAGAAGGCACAAAGGGGCTTTATTCTTGCAATGAGCACACGCTGCATGCCAGCAATTCCCACTATTACCCATGGCCTTCCCGAGAGCCAACCCACCAATGGCAGCTCAGAAGGATCAACCCAGAGGCTGCTCCCTGCACCCGGTTGACCAGCACAGGCAGAAGAAGCCGACGCAAACTCTGGAAGGCACAAAGGGGCACTGTTCTCACAGAAGAACACATGCCACTTGCCTGTGACCCCCCACCAGTGCTCTAGGCCATCCTGATGGCAGCCCTGCCCATGGCAGCTCAGGGGATTAACCCAGAGACTACACCCTGTGTGCAGTTAACTGGCACAGGCAGCATAGAAGGGCAAGGCAAACAGCAAGCAGGAACGGACTTTGTTCTCCCAGTTGACAGATGAGTCATGAAAAGGCAGAATAAACTGGTTCAGTCCAAAATCACTCAAACACCAGAGAGAGAGCATGATGAGACTGAAGTAACCAATCTTCCTGAAAAAGAATTCAAAATAAAAGTCATAACCAAGCTGATGGACCTGCAGAGAAATATACAAGAGGTAAGGGATTAATTCCAGAGGGAGATAACAGAAATGAAAGAAACAATGGAAGGATTTAAGAGCAGACTGGATGAAGTGGAAGAGAGTGTTAATGGAAAAGAAATCAGAGAACAGGAATGCAGAGAAGATTAGGCAGAAGATAAAAGGATCTCTAGAGATAAAAGAATATTAAGAGAACTGTATTTGCATTATACAGGTAGCAGAAGATGATAGACAGAAAAAGGGGTAGAAAGTGGCTTTGAAGAAATAATTCCTGAAAACTTCAATGTGAGGAAGTAAATAGTCTCTCAGAACATGGAAGTCCATAGATCTCCCAACACAAGGAACCCAAGGAGGACAACACCAAGACATATAATAATTAAAATGGCAAAGATCAAATACAAGGGCAGGATGTTAAAATCAGCAACAGAGAGAAAAAAGATCACCTACAAAGGAAAACCAATGAGGCTATCATCAGACTTCTCAACAGAAACCTTACAGCCAGAAGAGAATGGCATGATATATTTAATGCAATGAAAACAGAAGGGCCTTCAACCAAGAATATCGCATCCAGCATGATTATCATTTAAATTTGAAGGGGGCATTAAACAATTCCCAGATGAGCAAAAGTTGAGGGAATTTACCTCCCACAATCCAATGCTAAAGTGCATTTCATAGGGACTGCTCTACATGGAAGTACTCCTAAGGCTAAATAGATATCACCAGAGAAAATAAAATCACAGCAAAGAAAGCAGACCAGCCAAATACTAACTAAAGACAAAATAAAATGAGCTATTAAAAAAAACCAGTCAAAGGAAACACAAAAGAGTACAGAATAAAATACCTAACATATAAAGAGTGGAGAAGAAAGAAAAAGAAGGGAGAGAAATAAACTATCAAGAGACTGCGTTTATGACAACATAATAACTGAGGTAAAGTTAGATGGTTAGATAGTAAAGAAGCTACCCTTGAACCGTTGGTAACCACAAATCCAAAGCCTGCAGTGGCAATAAGTACATATCTTTCGATAATCACCCTAAAAGTAAATGGACTGAATGCACCAATCAAAAGACACAGTAATAGGATGGATAAAAAAGCAAGACCCAACTATATGCTGCTTACAAGAGACTCATCTCAAACTCAAAGACATACACAGACTAAAAGTGAAGAGATGGAAAAAGATATTTCATGCAAACAATAGGGAGATAAAAGCAGGTGTTATAGTACTTGTATCACACAAAATACATTTCAAAACAAAGAAAGTAACAAGAGATAAAGAAGGACATTACATAATGATAAAGGGGTCAGTCCACAAAGAGGATATAACCATTATAAATATGTATGCACCCAGCATTTGAGCACCTACATATGTGAAACAAATACTAACAGAATTAAAGGAGGAAATAGAATGCAATGCATTCATTTCAGGAGACTTCAACACACCACTCACTCCAAAGGACAGATCAACCAGACAGAAAAATAAGGACACAGAAGCACTAAACAACATATTAGAACAGATAGACCTAACAGACATCTACAGAACTCTACACCCAAAAGCAGCAGGATACACATTCTTCTCAAGTGCACATGGAACATTTTCCAGAACAGACCACATACTATGCCACAAAAAGAACCTCAGTAAATTCAAAAACATTGAAATTGTACCAACCAACTTCTCAGATCACAAAAGTATAAAACTAGAAACAAATTGTACAAAGAAAACAGCAATGCTCACAAACACATGGAGGCTTAACAACATGCTCCTAAATAATCAATGGATCAATGACCAAATTAAAACAGAGATCAAACAATATATGGA